TGCAGGCAGTGGTGAGGTGGCTGAAGGAGGGCATCAGGAGATGGCTGGATCCCTTGCAGTCCAGTCCAGTCTACATGATGGCAGGCATGTGAGACCCGAGGGTGAAGGGGAGCACGTGCACTGGCAGCACCAAAACCCTCGATCACTGAACATAGGTGCTGGTCAACAAAGTCAGGGAGGCCGAAGTGCAGAGGTGAGGGGATGCGGAAGGGGATCCACTTTCCTGTGCCAGCACTCCCAGTACCAGCAACAGCACCAGCCAGTCTCCTCCATGCCAGCCACTGCCAATGTGGGCCATAGGCATGGCTTCAATGCTGGGGTCAAAACACACCAGACCCCAACCTTGGGCAAGTAGTGCCGAGGCTTTGGTGGCTACCTATTTTGCTTAGGATGTGGAGACACTGGACTGTGACCCCTTGGCCTACTGGGCAAGCCTCAGCCAGATGTGGCAGGATCTGGCCACAGTTGCCCGGCAACACCTGTCCTGTCCACCAACCAGTGTTTCAAGCAAGATGGTGTTCAGCATTGCTGGGGATGTTGTGACACCCCACCGTACCTCCTTCAATCCTGCTTTGGGGGAGCAGCTGGTGTTCCTAAAGGTGAACCTCCCACTGCTGGGGTTCCCCAAGCTCCACCTGCAGACAGACTGAATGCCACCCTCCTCACTCGTCTGCACCAGTTTCCTTTTTTGAGTTTTTTAAAAGCCAAATAATGCCCTGCTCTCAGCTGGAAGGGGTACTAGCTGTATCACCAGCCAGCAGGGGAATAACATGTCCCTGCTGAGCTCATTCCCCTGCCAAGACGAACTTGGAGGTATGGGATTGGGGCTATGGGGAAGGTGGAGGCCCCAGGCCCTGAGCATGACCACTAAAACTGCACCCTGCCAGGGTAGGGAGGTCTGGTGGGAATGCTGGTGGTGCGGCAGCCCTGTAAATGCCAGGACCAATGATCCCCTGGTGAAAGGCGGGGAGGAGGTGCCATAACCTCCAGCTAATGCACCCCTGGCTGGGGTATGCTCAGACCTGTCACGTCTTTGACAGGCCTGCGCTTGCTGGTTGCAGTGCAGTTGTGAGGCTGCTGGTGAGCTCAGCTTAGCTGCCTGGGGTGCCAGCTTTAGGACTGAAAACACCTTTGTCAGGGTGAGGAAATACCTGCATTTGGTCCTGGATGGAAGGAATAGTAAGGAAGCCAGAGGCTGGCCTGGCCCGCAATGCAGGCAAGAAAGCCAGTCGGTGAAAATGGAAATGGAAGCATCAGGATGTGAGGGACAGGCTGGGGTGGGGGGTAGGGGGAAAGTGGGATGTAGCTGCGCAGGTAAAAGTGCAGAGGTGCCTGGGGTGTCAGATGTCCGGCAGGTCGCAGTG